ATGTTTACGCAATACGAGGCAGAACCATTCCTTTTCGTATAAAGTTCGGTGGTGGTATGCCATTTGTGATGTTTGTGCTCACGTCAAGCTGTTGTCTCGTATCTTACGGCACCAAAAGTTCTGCCCACCGCGGTGGTCTATGGCTAAGGTACTCGGCTGCTGGCCTGCAGGTCGCGGGATCTAATCTCGGCTGCGACGGCTGCATTTTCGATGGAAGCGGAAATGCTGTAGGCCCGTGTGCTTGCTTGATTGATTGATTGATTTGTGGGGTCTAACGTGCCAAAATCACCATTTAATTATGAGAGACGCCGTAGTGGAGGGCTCCGCAAATTTCGACCACCTGGGGTTCTTTAGCGTGCACCCAAATCTGAGCACACAGGCCTACAACATTTCCGCCTCCATCGGAAATGCAGCCGTCGCAGCCGGGATTTGAACCCGCGACTTGAGGGTCAGCAGCCGAGTACCTTAGCCACTAGACCACCGCGGCAGGGCGGGGCCCGTGTGCTCACATTTGGGTGCACGTTAAAGAACCCCAGGTGGTGGAAATTCCCGGAGCCCTCCACTATATGGCGTCTCTCATGATCATATGGTGGTTTTGGTACGTCCAACCCCACATATCAATCAATCAGCACAAGAAGTTCTGCTATTGCGCACTTAAGATATAAGCAATAAACATATTTTGGGTTATACGTCCCAAAACAAGTATAAGACACAATATTGGAGGACTCCGGAAATTTTGAGCATCTGGGGTTCTTTAACGTGCACCGACAACACACAGTCCACGGGCTTCTACCATTTCGTCTCCATCAAAATGTGACCACCATGGCCAGGATCAAACTTGCGACCTTCGGGTCAGCGGCTGAACACCATAACCAGTGGTCCATCGCGGCGTGCTAAGCAAACACGTACGGTTGGTGTTCTTGCTATATCGAGTATGCGAGAACACCCACCGCACCTGTACACTGGCCCTGCGATTGTAGATTGTGGTCTTTCTCAACGTCTACGCCCATACTGAGAGTTAAGCTCCGCCCAGCTCTCAGTTCCACACAGAAACGAGGAAACGACACGGCGACGATTAAGTGAGACACACACCATGTTGTATTGCACGGCTGTAAGGAGCTGGGGTCTTGGGTTGTCGGGGTGTCTTGATTTTATTTCGGCCATCAGGTGGGTTGAGTACACTCGCTCACAGGTATGACCAATAGGAGGCGTTGGTATGACACACTGAGTAAGGGGCACACATGATCACTGCTGGAACAGGTGACTCGGTTGAAACACGTGCATCGCGCCGTACGGCTCATACAGCGCACCTGCAGCGTAGTGTCGTCACTGCTTCCAACAGCTCTGTGACTGCTGGGGGCTGCCTTGTAGCGATGCCTCTTCTGATGCCTGCCTGCGCTCTTCATCGGTAATCAAAGTGATAGCCCGCCAGAGTTATGAACGGCATCAGCCGGCTGTGATTGATGGATGGTAACAATGGCCCAAGACCGAGCGGGAAGCATCGCTACGCAATGGCGGCCCAGGACTGGAACATTGGCGCTCAAGGTGCACCTCGCGTTTCGCATTCGGTAAACTAGGATTAGAGAGAATCACGGAGTCACCCCTGGAGTGACGTCATGTGGGTTCGAAACAGTTCATCCCGTAGGCCTTCTCGCACCTGTTTCTCTCGCATAAACACGATGAGCATATAGTCAGCAATGGTTTAGCTCTACAACCGCTCGGGAAAGATAACGCACGAACAAGCGCTAGAGATGCGTCCAAGAGCCCGGCAGGCGTGAACTCAGCTATATATACTGGCATCACAGTCACAATGCAGCCGCTAAGTAACCAAATAAGAGAGTGAGTTCAAGTTAGCAAAATGCTTTCAACCGCCGCTGTACTGAGTTCTGAGCGATGGAGTGAACAATAAAGCAAAGGGAGTTCATTGGGAACATTCACCTGTAATCAACTACATATGAAATACGACAGTTTCGAGACATTCGAGAGGATGGCAACTGACCACTTCCATCGACACCACGGAGCGCGGAAACATTTACGCGAGACACAGTGAGCATTCATAGCAGAATTTTTTTAGGCGCAGGAATCGATTAGCGTATTGTACATTGCGTCGACGTACCACAGCTAGAAATACAAGAAATAAAATGCAGTGGGAAGTGCGACAGGGCGCAGCAGGGGTTGGGGTGAAGGTTCCGAAACACCGCTTACAGTCATGCCGATTATGCAAAGAAATTCGTTCTCATGTGGCCCCCACATTTAGTGAGAAAGAAACGTCGAATGTGTATGAGCAACGTAAAAAGCACCGAAGAGATACAAAAGGCAAAGGACCGAAGAGGACAGGAGCTAGTCCTCATCGATCGCTTGTCTTGTCTCTTCCGCTATGCGTTGCCAGCCGAATAGACCGATCATGCACCTTGCTTCAGTATATTCGAGTGCTTAACGCATATTCTTAGATTCGTTTAAAAAGTAAATTTCCTTCATTGACATTCCAGGCAACCCCTGTACAGAAATCAGGGGATGTGATGCCTATCGCCGAAATTTTAATGAAACGATAGACTGGCCTACTATACGCCTCCTCCAAAGGCGTCAACAAGGAGGAGGTGCAACAGAGAGGGTTCATCAAGCAATGATGAACCTCATAAGTTGCCCACGGAGAAGCTAAGCACCGCATCTCGAATCTCCTCTATCGTCGCTTGAAACATTAAAATCCACAGTTAACGGCTGAATATGTTGATGAGACACGTAGAATAACATCTTACAACTATTCATTTTGTAGCCATTCTACTTCACCTCTCTCCCAGGAGCAGTTCTTTTTCCCCCTCCGAGAAATTCGGAAGGCTACTACCCTGGCTACCACCACTGGCGAAGCGTAAGGCCTGGCATTCATAACGGGTGGCGAGGCCTGGACTAATCCCAAGTTACCGAATATAATCGACGAGCTGTACGCAGCAGAAAACACAGAACGCTGGACAAGATGATGCCCTTTCCGCGAAGAGGCTGCATGATTCCTGACAACCGCGTTCCGCACGTCATCTCAAAACAGCTCCCAGCGTTAGGCTCTTGCGAGTGCGGTGAACCTTATCGAATGATCTGCAAGTGAAATCACGCGCTGTGCAAACAGTTGGACCTCGAACTGACTGCGTATCCGCAAAAAAAAAAAAAAAATCAGTCGCAGCATCAAGCTGCTCTTCTTTGTTTGACGAACCAGCTTTATTTTTGTTTTATTTTTTTGTTAATTGCAAGCAGCGCACTTTGGCGCACTGATGTGAGCTGTGGGACTAGCATATTTAATTCTGGCTGAATCTGTTTTTAGTGTGCGCATGTGCACGTGCCTGCAGTTTTTTCAATTGTATTTTTTTACCTTCGTCCTGTACAATAACACGCTAGTGCAGTCGCTCACGTATTCCGACACCTTTGTTTATTGTTGACAACATTTCTTTATCGTTCTCCGCCTGACTGCGGCCGCTATCATGTTATTTTAAAAGTGTGCTCACCTCAAGCTGGAGTGGCAATTCGAATGTGCTCCCGGTGTCAAAAGATTACGGTACGTGAGCCTCACCGCATGCGAAGGCAAATTTATGCACTGTTAGTGCGCGATGTTTCTAACCCATCGCGTTACTGTGTTTGACGCTGGAACTACATGCTGAAACATAGAAGTGGAGGCCTTGTTTCCAGATGAATATGAAATAGAGCTTTCCCGGAAGTTTCGCGTATCACGAACTTTACCTAGGTGGGAGGGAGGAGGGGTAGTTGTAATATATGGTTCAATGTTTCGGTGCAGTGAGCGCAACGGGCTTGCGATACTACTGGTGGCTCTAGGCTCGAAAATGAAGATTACGTGTTCTTCGGGTCTCGTAAAAGGTCTGAGGGCATTTTACTTGTTGTATGCTTATATATTTACCCAACAAACACATGTTTTTCGTATGCAAGCCAACAGTAAAGCACCCAGGCAGTCGCGATATTTGTCATTATTAAGACGAAAACCTTGTATCTCACACCATTCAAGAAATTTGCTCGAGATTTTTGTAAGACTTCAAAGAGGGTAAAATGACGGCAATCAGAAAAAAATAAAGGGTTGTCAAGTCACGTGACACTCACGCGACTGTATGCGCGCCGCCAAAGTCGCATTACTTCAACATCGATGACGTCACATACGCCACTATTTGTGACGTCATAATGACGTCATATTATGACGTTATGCGCAACATCGCCGCGTGGTCAAAGTGGGCGACTCCAAGAGACCATACAAAATCACGTTAGCTGCGGAAGGCTACGGGTGAGGGGGATAGAGGGGGGTGTTGAATGGAATGAAGGATTGATACCATCGACTGAAAAGAAAAAGGTGTTTTTCTCCTTCGAGTCGTTTCGAGCGAATGCTTGAAGAACCGTGTGGCTTTCTATTTGGATCAGTCTCAGCGTTGTGCTCGGAAAGAGGACGTGTACTTTTTTCTCTTTTGATTTGCGCATATTACGATAAGCTCGCATTACTGCTACCTTTGAACTGATGTCATTGTTTTAGGAATACCAAGAAAGGCGGGCTGAACTTCTGAATGTCGCGCGAGTACAACAGGTTGTATTCATCTTGCGCAACGTGGAGCAGAAAGATAAGTTCATGTCCGACGAAATTGGTTGTTTTAAGAGTGTGTACATTATCACTCGAAGATGACGATTAGGAAGGAGGTAGCTTTTATGCGTAGCATAAGTATGTGAACCTTGAGTAAACTGTTCAGTCGGTGTTATTTCCGTCAACTATCGTTGCACCATGGAACACAGGACGCAGCTTATAGCACATTACAGCGAGACTTACTCGTCTCCGGCGTATGCGCATGCCGATTAAGTGCTACCTACTCTGCTAAGTTTCTGTTTCTATTTCCTGTTTTATTATTCATCGCCGTGTGTAATTTAGCAGTTGCATGTTCCCAGCCTCTCTGCTATCAACTGAACAACACATTATCTGAGCTGTCCGTTGGATCAGAAAGCTTCCTATACACCGTAGTAGGTATTGCTTATCTTCGGTGCTGGCAGAAGAAAAGTAAAAGGCGTCGAAAGAGAATAAGCATCTTCAACTGCAAAGTGCTGCGCTCGAAGGATCACAATATACCGGGTACACGCGAGTGGAGGTGTGCGGGCTGGCCCGTAGAAATGCATGCGTGTGCTACTGAGCCTTCGTCATTTGAACAGAGCGGTGCGGTGCATCTGGGACAACCTGTCATCTTTGTCACATCACACTGCGGTCCGTCTTCGTGCGCGTTTGTTGGTTATTTATGACATGGTTCCATTGATCTCGTCTGAGGAGCAGGAGAAGAATAGCTCTTACAGAAGACATGGGGTCATTAATTTATAGCGCGCACTGTTTTCGTCGTAAAATAATGGCATGATATGTTGAAGGTTGCTACGTTGCAAAGGCTTATATAAAGTTACTGAATGGCATTACGCTGTTAACTATTAGCACCCGCGAAGATCGTTACTATAACGTCACATTGGATACCCTAGTTGTCGTGGTATACGACGAACTTTCTCCGAGCATCTTTCTTTGCGAGATTTCAATCTCTCGTTGCAGTGCTTCGAAATAGCCGTATACAGAAAGATACGAGCAATTCTAGCCTGTGCACAAGTATAACCAGTGCTCCCGTCCCTGTAATATACGAAGAAAATATGTATAAAGACGCTGAAAGAGGGGGATGACGATTGACCGACCAAGGCGAGACACTATGGGCAGAGCTCATGGCATTTCGTGTTTGCGGGCCACTTCGTGTTAATTTTTCTAAGCCTTAGTCGCTACTACTCCATGTACATGCTATACGTTGCGTTCTGAATCGCAGCCATAAGTAGATACACCATCGCCAGCACCAATTCTGTAATGTGGACGACCGTTGCAATTTGAACAAAGTTGGCCGCATGACTTCCGCATTGTGGACCACCTGGACGTCAAAACCTGTCGGTTGCCTTTCTGCACCTGCATTAACTGAAATGGAATGAGATCGAAGTGCAGTGGTACAGATGCAGAAGAAGTGAAACGATATCATGCATTGCGCGTCGTGGTATCGCCAGTCAGCATTCAGAATTAGACGCATATATCTCAGAAACTCTCGTGCAGTCGATAGTTCTCAGCCCGGGAACGCTGCACTGTGTTAAGGGGCAGTACACTATATTCAGCTGTGCTCAGGCGCTCATAAACGCCCCCAAGATTAGTTGATGGACGCCTGCTTCTCGATACACAAATACCTTTGCGACAGTGACGATTATATTACACGGACACTACGACGAACGAAAACGGCAGCCGCTTTACACGTGCACTCTGCGACATTGCTTTCAGTGAACACAGCAGGCGCTTTGATTGTATGCACGTGCCATACTGGCATGTGTGTACTTGATATGTAAATACTTTCAGTGTTACAACAGGGAGAACGATGTGGAAGATCCCCAGCCTATATGGTGTTGAGTGCCAACTGGCCTGTGAGGCACGGGCATCGGGATGCGCTTATCGTCTGGTGCAGCTATGGGGAATAGTCATCTAGGCATGGCTGAAGTCGCTAGGGAGGCCATAAATTGAGTGGACGTGCCCGATAAATCGTTCGCCCACGTGCACTGCCCTGTCGCGGCACTTTGCTGCGAGGTGCGGCGAAGGGATGAGGGACTCAGATGTAAATAACGCCTCTTCTGATAGGGCTGATCGGTATTGGAGCTATAGGAGTACGCATGAGCCCAACACTGGAGCGACAGAACACGAGAGAGCGCCGGCTGCTGGCATTCACCTGTTACTGCTTCTACTGCCATTCGAACACTTTGAGATATACGTAAGAGGACACTGGATTGGGCTAGTTGGTAAGATAACCTCTGACGCATCGACCTTTCCATATCCAATGACAAAGACAAAACGCCTCGTTTGGCTCGCGCTGCAAGTCTCTCGACGTGTCAGTCGTCACAGCAGCAACAGTTCAGCGGCAGCGCCTCTTGACCGGACAGGCCTACACCAGCAGGTCTCGTCCAGTCGTCCTCAGGTGGGATAAGGGTCGGGTGAATCAAGGTCTGCTCGCAAGCAGGTTGAGTGGGTACCTGGGCCGGTGGACCTGGCAGGAACATCCGCTGCGGTAGCGGATGTAGTCGAGCCTCCAGGGCCCGTCGGACTGGAACTCGCGCACCAGCGCGTACATGTAGCTGTACGTCTGGACGCAGCGTGACTGGGCTTCGTATTTGGTGCGCACGTAGCGGCAGGGGCGGCCCTTGACTTGCTCTCGGCACGACGTCTGATAGAAGCGTTGCGTGGCGTTGGGCTCGCGGTACAGCTCCAGGATGCGGACCCGTTATGGAGACGCCGCCAAGTGGCTGGATGGCCTCTGTCACGGACGGGCAGCACTCCGCCGACCGCACGTAGCCCATGTCGATAGGGACTCGAGGGCGGCGCCGTGGGGTCGCGTCGCCGAGGGCGAGGCCACTCCAGAGGAAGGTCCCTGCAAAGCAAGAGCTTCAGTGAACTACTTTATTGGTGAGGTTAGGTACACTTGACAGACTCGGCTAAAGATACCACAGCATAACCACGGAGTGAACGACGATAGACAAAGATCCGGGAATACATCGGTAAACTGTGAATCCCACTCGCAGCCGTTCCAGAGTATCGAGGAGCCTGACCCAGTGTGTTTCCTCGGCAAAAAGCGTGAGGAACGCGTGCAGTTTGCCCAGCTGGCGAATCATGGCAAAGAGCTCGTTACAGCGTTCTTACCCGTAATGCACCGTGTTGGGTACGCCCCGCATGAAGGCCAGGCCTCGGTTGAGCACATTATCCATGAACTCGCGCCCACCGCTCTTTAGTTGCTGCCGCGTGAACGAGCTGGTGATGAAAGCGAGCACAGCAGCGCCATCTAGTGAGCACTCTGAGAACTAGGTATGGCTAAGACTGACAACGGCGGACAAGCCCACACCTAAGAAGCTTCGCTCCTAAAAGTATCACTACTACACTTTGCATGAAACTTAATTTTGCCTGGCCTCAGAGCAATTTTGACACCCTGAAGCAATTACAATATGAGAAGCGTTTGTTGTAGGAATAGTTGGTACGTGGACGTGGCCCGCAGCCGAACCTTGAGTAGAGCTGGCCCCTCAGGACTTCAATGAAGTTCTTTGGCTGACTGGCGACATATATTCAAGCTTCAAATCTGCTCATTGGGACGCGCAGTTTAAATTTCCTCGGACCTATAGTATGGTATATGTGGCGCAGACTGGGAGATGTATTGACAAGCGTTTAATGAAACACTATAAATCACTAAACGATGACAGTGGAAAGCAGTTGACAGTTCATTGGAAGATTTGTGCCAATAAGCGGACGACCGTTTACAGCAGCACTAATTGATTGATATGTGGGATTTAACGTCCCAAAACCACTATATGATTATGAGAGACGCCGTAGTGGAGAGCTCCGGAAATTTAGACCACCTGGAATTCTTTAACGTGCACCCAAATCTGAGCACACGGGCCTACAACATTTCCGCCTCCATCGGAAATGCAGCCGCCGCAGCCGGGGTTCGAACCCGCGCCCTGCGGGTCAGCAGCCGAGTACCTTAGCCACTAGACCACCGCGGCGGGGCACAGCAGCACTAAGGTTATAGGCCGAGTGAAGGACCAAAGATCACGTCATGTCCTGGAAGCCTCGTGGATAGCAAAACGTTGCCCTGGCAAATGCGTCAGTGAGACATCTTTCTCTCTCTTTGAGAAAGAGCTCGATTTTCTTGTTTAGATGACGGTCTAGCGGAAGGAGTCTACTAGAGTCGTGTGGTCATGACTGTTTTTGGCGCATGTGCATTGTTCCAGGAGGCAAGAATGTGTGACTTCAATAAATCATCCGTTAGTATGCGTTCGTCCCGTCTGCGTCTGATCTGGTGTCCCGCCCCAAGTGCACTTTAAGTTTGAATAATATATACATTTTTCAGGATGTCCTTCAGTGCTCGAAGCACTCGATCTCGGCAGACGCACGGCTGCATTTTTTTCGCGTGTAACCATGGGCATCTGCAGGATTTTTTCTTGGGAGTAAAAAACTTGGTTTTGTACGCCAATAGAGTTTTTGTACGCCAATATAGAAAACACCAATAGAGAATAAAACGCTCGTTTTGTATTTGTATTTTTGAGAGACTGTTGCAGGATCTTTTAAGGTTCGTATGTACTGGATTCAAGAAGGAAATCGTTTACCATCGTTCTTTTCAATCATAGCCACTAAAAACAGGCACCAAGTGTAACCATTCTACAAAAAGCGCGAACTCATACTCACAGGATGCGCCTATTCTTCCTCGGGGCGGCTCTGCCATGGGCTTCTGTGGCAAGGGAAAGTAAGCAGGTCGCCAGGGACACCACCTGCAGTGACCCAAGAGACGTATTATGCCAAGATGGTGGACTGTCTCGGTAAACATACTCTGCAAGTCACGGTCGCGATTAAATGAGACAACCCAAATTCAGCGTGCAACGTTATGTTTTCACGAATATGCTGCATGAGGTGACCGGAAAGGATGTTGCTTATTCGGTCATCTGACTTTTGAGGCACACAGATAACAAAGAGGAAGCTGTGATGTTTCGACCGATAGCACTTGATCTTTCCTTGTGTTTTCCATGTGTGAAAGTTGTAGTAGTTCTTTTATTTGCACGTTTATATTTATAACAAGTGCGCGTAAAACTTAGAGGGATCCTATAACACTTTTGGAACAAACAGAACACGAGCCAGATATTATTCATGATCCTGTATCAGTGGGGCCAACAGAATGTTAGCAAGAAGTTAACATTTCTGGGGTCTCGCGTGCTGAAACTATACCACGCCGTATCAGGTGCATCGTTGGAGGTATCGTGGATTAATTGTGACTAGATGAAGTTATGAGACGTGCAAACAGGTTGCCATTTATTTCTTTTCTCGGGCTTTCTTTAACACCAAATTGTTTTATGCCGGTGTCCGCCAAGACTTTGATTACGTATTTCCGTCACGGAAACCCGTCAGCAAAATGAATGTGACCAGATGGTAAAGAAGAAAAAGAAAACATGAATGTCCTGTTGTCTAGATTCAAACTCACTATCTCTCCACAATGGTGACTTCCGCACGTTCAACCCACTGCGCCACCGAAAAAGCCATTAACGAGGGTAGATGAACGTGTCTTTATTAATTTTGTCCCCGTCGCCATTTTACCGCTCGTGCCAAAAACAGAACATGCGTCGTCGTGCTTGCGACCGACCCCGGTGCTCACGCTCATGGGTGTGCGCAGGAATCCCTATTTAGGGATCAGCGCTCCCATCCCCATTCCATTGGCTGAGTCAGAAGCATAACAACACTTCAGAAAGCACGAGAAAATGAAAAGGAAGCGATGATGTGCCTTTCACAATGGTCTGCCTTTGGTCCCTGGCTTTCTGGGAGTAAAGAAGAGAAGTATATAGATAACTCTTGAAATGAGGCACCAGGGGCCTCCAGTCGCCATCATCGTCAAATATTTGCGTCGCCACAACGTTTTTCTTTAAACAATGACGATAGAGGTCCAACTAAGTAATGGGGCAGACTTCGCACTCTCCCCCTCTTAGATGATTAGATGGGGGCCTCTTTCCTCCTCCTGAATCCCGTGCGCACGCCTACATAGTGCTGCGGACGGGTGGGTTGGAGTATCATCTTTTTTGAACAAGGCTTAATCCCGCACGGCGCCCTTCATTTCTCGACAGCAGTGCACGTTCCAGGTCGCTGGATCGAATCCCAGCTGCGGCTGCTGCTTTTTAGGTGGAGAAAAAATTAGCCCGAATCCTCCACTACGGCGTTTCTCAAAATCATATCTTGGTTTTGGAGCGTAGAACACCAACACTTATAATCATGCACGCATAGCGCATGGTGCGCCCCATCAGCCTCGGCCGTTTGCGTCCGCTTGCTTCCGCAGCTGCAGCTAACGCGCGACTGGTGTTAAATGTTCGTTAATGTACTCTTCGCGCGATGTCCACAAAATCAGTCTTGAGTAAAGCTGGTGAGCCTACCGGAGTCGGCAACGAGCAGCAACTTGCACTTCTCCTTTACAGGCAGCGCTTTTTTCCTTTGGCTTACGCAACAGACGCGCTCGCTCAGGTTTTCATGAACCTGAACGCCCGCTCTCAATTTAAATTATCACGACAAGGCAAAAAGAAGAAAGTGATGTGAAAGAATGGAAGGTGAGGCGATATAGTTTTTTTTTCTTATCGAGCAGAAACACTCACCGGGACAAACATTAAAGTGCAGACGTGGAAACACAACGCTTCCAGTTCGTTAACGCGAGCTTTTACTTCTCGTTGTCTGGATTTCCGTAGTGCTGACAGCTTTTCGCTGGTGTTGGACATTAAAAAAAAAAGAAAGGCAGAGTGCCATGCATACTTAACTTCTGAAGCTGCCTCGCCTTCTTGAGTAACGAACCATGACAAGCGGTACGCAGTAGCACGTTGTTCTTATTTTATTCAGATTTAGAAACGCACCGTTGGGATTCTTTTTTTTTTAATTATCTTACCTCGCGCACACTTTCATCCACTTTGTCCACACGCTTATCTCCCTTTAAAGTATTCCTGTGCTGGCGAAGTATTTCGTTAATGCAATTACCGGACTGACCAATGTACACCTTTACGCAGGCGAGAAGAATACGATAAACAAAGCCAACGGAGCAGGAAACGGCAGGTCGATTGTGATGCTTCACTGAGCAACCTACATGTGCACCCACTGTTCACCTAGTCTTCTTCTAAATCGCAGAACAAACTTTGTTACTCTCAGGCTGCTCCAAACAAGAACCTACCGGAGCCATGCGACACTGCACACAATAACCCATGAACGATTCTCAAGCCCGGATTGCCCCTTGTGTGGCGGTTATGCGGACTTCAAGCATGTCCCGTGGGGCTGTGGCGTTGCCGGCCCCCCTTTCCAATAAGGGGAAACGAACAAGCTGATTAAGGCCCAGGACCTCGCCTCTCAATTTCTAGCCGTCCAGAGGGCCCACGCGAGAACGGTCAGGTTCAACCTGACCGTCCCCGAGTGGGCCTTGCCAGGTGACGCTGAGTTAACTCGCATCTATTATGGACCCAATAAAGTTATTTTACTCGCTCACTTTTAGCCTGAAAACGTGAAACGTTGAAAGAAGTCAGAGGGGGTTGGGGTAGAGAGGAGGTGGTCTGAACACTCAGCCCCTTCTTTCACTTAGCTACGCCACTGATTGCCATTCAAGTTATTTTACACTAATGACGGCTAAGGGCCTCTCGGTGTTGCATTACAAGGACTGCTTTTGCTTCCCACCAGAAAGCCGGGAATCAAAGGCACTTGAGAGCAGCACGAAATTGTTTCGTTTTTTTAAATTCATTGAGAACCTTGTATTTTTTTGAAATGCCTTGTTACGCCGTAATTGAATGAAAGAATGTGAGCATTATTAAAAACGGAGGCCCACTATTGGCCACTGCTGCTGGTGAGGTGGAAAAAGGGGTAAGGAAGTTGAGAAGCGTGTGAACCATGGTGTAAAAATACACAGGTGCTGACACTCTCCCCGCAACGCGTCGAAAAGCGCAATCCCAGCGCGTCCAGATTCTAGGTCCGTTCGATTCACCTGCACCGGTCGGAACCGGTTCACGGCTGTGCACGCGAAGTTCAGAAATTGTGCAGCGTGAGTTCAGCGGTGCAGGCACAGCCCGACACCCGAAACAAATGACGATGTGCCGACAAGGTGTTGGCCTTATTTATTTTCGGTTAATTTACACCGTTCAGCAGACACTGATCTATGGCGAAACGCACATGCGGACAGTTTATGAGGCGCAAACATCTTGGCAAAACCCACCGCATTTGTACACCTACGTGTAAGTGCTGCGTCGTCTGCTCAGCTGCACGCGCGCCTGCACCAAGCCGGCACCAGGTCCGTTCGATTCACCTGCACCACGTGAATCAGTTCACGGGGTGCTGCACTTTGCCATTCGTTTTAGTGGTGCAGCATTGACGACCTTTGAACCCTGTCATTCGTTTCAAAAGGTGCAGAAAAGGTGCAGCACTGGTTCAAGATTTTCCTGCACCTCCTACGCTAACGGTGCCGGCTTGGTGCAGCCGCATGTGCAGCTGAGCAGACGACGCAGCACTTTGGTGTAGGTGGCTTAGGCGTCATACCCGCCTCTACAAACGCGGTGTGTTTTGCCAATATGTTCGCGCCTCATAAACTGTCCAGATGTGTGGTTCGCCATCGTTCAGTGTTAGCTCTACGGTGTAAATTAAGCGAAGAGAAATAAAGCCTGCACACTGTTGGCACATCGTCATTCGTTTCGGGGGTCGCGCTGTGCCTGCGCCGCTGAACTCACGCTGCACAATTTCTGAACTTCGCTTGCACAGCCGTGAACTGGTTTCAATTGGTGCAGGTGAATCGAACGGACCTAATGTTCGGGCTGTTATCAGTTATCTCGTAAATGGCACTACGACCAGCGCGGTCAGCCGTCTTGGTCTAAGCAACACGCTCGGCAGAACGATTCTGAGTTCTTTTGTTGGCATGCGTGACCACGTTGTTTCGAAGCCAGATTTTTCCTTCGCGTATGTTTAAATCTATTCTGTCGTCGAGGGTGACATGAAATTGCTGAAGGGTTCTCGAAATGGCTAGAACATGTTTTGTACCAAATTGGCGTTCTGGCTTCAGACTTTTGCGGAGCGTGTCCCTCTCTTCAAAGTGCCGTCTGACAGTGATCGTCTGACGGTGATCGTTAACATAAATATATATGCGAATTCACATCGCAACATCTAGCCATGAACTTCCACATTGCTTTAGTGTGCTGTATATGAAATACTTGCGTGGTTCAAATATTTGTTTATTTCATGCAACAACTGCATCGCTCTTGTGTGCTTGTTATGGAATACTTGGGCGTTTCAATTATTTATTTATATGGCGTTCACATTGAACAAGCATAAACGTTTCAATGATTTCTTGTGTAAATGAAAGCAGTGGTACGCATGAAATAAGTTTCTGGTGCAGTAGCGACTCTCTTTTAATAGAGGGTAATAATTAATAATGAAGGTTTACGCGTCCAAATCATGATTTGATTACGAGGGATGCCACAGTGGAGGGCTCCTGACTAATTTTGACCATCCGTGCTGTCTAACATGCACCTACATCTAAGCACGCGGAAGTTTTTTGCATTTCTTCCCCACGGGGAAGTACTTTGACGGAGGAATAGCACGTTGGCTAACATTTTTATTTATTTATTTTTCTTTGCCTCGAACAATACTGTGAACTGACGAAAATACTTGTGCGCGTGAGCGAAACTATCTGTGTTGACGACGTTCGCACCCTGCACAAGGCATCTTCGTGTTATGAAATCCACAAACCTGGTATGCGTCTACCTTTTGATCCGAAATA